AATCCCTGGTACTGCAAAAAAAAAAAAAAAAAAAGAAGAGAGAAGATGAGAGTGGAGGAGAGGAGGGGGAGCTGGAGGGGGGAGGGGAGAGGAAAGGGAGGAGGGGGGAGGAAAAGGAGGGGGAGGGGGGAAGGCTGCAGAGATAGCTCAGAGGCATAAGCACCTACTGGCAAGCACAAGGAGCAGAGTTCAACCTCTGGCCCCACATGCCATGTGGTCCTGGCCCCGGATTCTTGGGTGTGCCATGCCGGATGTGGGCACCCACCGTGCTGCCCTGGAACCTGGTGTAGTGGCCCACGCCTGCAATCCCAGCACTCAGGAGGTTCAGACAGGAGGATCTCTGTGGGTTCAAGATCAGCCTGGGGAGTACAAAAGTGAGCACAAGGCCAGCCTGAACTGCATAGTGAGACCCAGTCAGAAGCAGAAGCAAGGAGGAGAAGGAGGGGGGAGGAGAGGAAGAGAAAGAAGGAGACCTGGATGGTTGTTTTGTTTTTGTATTTTAGGGAAGGGTCTACAGGGTGCTCAGGGTCTCACTACTAAATCGGACTGATCCGCCTGTTTAGAGCCTCCTAAGAGCTGGGATTACAGGCGCTCACCATCATGCCCTTTTTTTTTTTTTTTTTCTGCAACAGGAGATTGAACTCAGGCCCTTGCGCTTGCCAGGGAAGTGCTTATTCCACTGAGCCATCTCCCCGGCCCCTGGATGGGTTTAGGTGTGGGTTTTAGGTACTTCTACTCCACCCCTGGGTCACAGAGCTTCAACCATGGCAGTGTAGGTTGCAGTCTGAATGCCTATATACCCACTTCGGGCATTTGCCTATACCTCACTAAGAGACTTTCTCAAAAGACACCCAGGTCTCTCTGACCCACGTACTTACTAGTACCTTAGGAGCCCTCAGTCAAGCCCAGTTCCCTCATTTCACGGCTGAGCAAACTAGGCCCTTTGTGGATAAGCAGCCTGCCCCAAGTCCTACTGCTGATGAGAAACTCAGGTCTCCAAAGCGCCAGGACAGTCACCTCAGGACTGTGCCCAGCTTTAGGCCAGCACGGTCCTTAGTTTATCATTCAGCTCATATTTCTGTGTGACTCCCATCTGGGAAACCTGCACTCCTCCCCCATCATTAACCCAGCTCTCCACTCAGAATTTCTTTCCTTCTAACCCGGGTTGAGATTAGAGATGTACATGTCCAGCACTGGGGAACAAGCGGGTAATCAAATTACCCACCAACTGCCTGGAGATGATCCCTGAGATTACGCCACACTATCCCCTAGCAGGTAGCCCGCTCGGGGTGTGGAGGGACGGCTCAGGCTCCTGGGGGAGGTGTGACTGTACGCCGTGCCTGGCACTCTGTTCACTCAGTACTGCTACTGCATGCCAGGCCATGTGCCCAGCACTGAGGTACCAGGAACGGCCCGAGGAGACGTCACCGCTACAAACGCAAGCAGATTGAGAGCGCGCTACTCCTAATCTGCTGTAACTGCGAGTAAACAGCACAGACAAGCACTGTGTAAGCACGAAGAAGGCCCGCGCCGATCTGACCGGCACCTGTGAATGCTGTCAAAAAGGTGACAGC